ACCACTTCTGGAACAGTCAAGTATTTCTTGCCGCATCCGTGTTGGATTCTCCACAATGCACTATTTTTGAAGGATCTGACACGTACATTTTTTAAGAGTCCGAGCATTAGAAATTGTATGGACTTGATAGTTTTCCCTGTGGAGAAGTATGATGTGGTGTTTGAAAACAATAGATACAGTTAGCATGGACTATACTGAGCTTACTAGCACTTTCAACTTCGAAGAAAAACAGCATTTATTAAAGGGGCCATTGGTGCAGAGTGTATACAATAATCTGATGTTGAGTGCACAAATGTATGTAGAGAGGTTATACACCTGCATTTCTGTTAAAATGGACTAATTCTACATGTTATGTCCCATTCTGCACATGAATTCGATCATATATGTATTTCCGGTTAAAGATGAGATATATAGTATGGTGCTGCTTATTTTTGTTTCTGAGAAAATTGTCATCACAGGAACCAAGGTGTGCGAACATAATTGAACAAATTGTCATCACAGTCCACTAGTATTAATGTTAAAAATCGACATTACTCTCACCAACAAAGAATTGAAGGTCACTGAGATAATTGTGATGTCCGGACTAGAAGAGTTTTCTTGGGAGAACACAAATTCAAACAAGAATAAACGGGTATATTTACCAACAGTGAAAACATCATCCTAGTACTATTCCAAGCAGGGGATGTACTGCAACACATTACAAGATATCTGACCCAGAAGTAGCATTGTTTTTTCAATTATTTACACTTCATAAAAATATTTGTGTATGTTGTTAAAAACATCTCACTTAAGCCCTGACACTAGCGAGTAGTGATATTCAAAATGCCTACCAGGTAACGATATCTTATAATTAAATAGAACAAACAGTGACGTCCAGAATATTGCAAAATTATCCAAAGGGTTTGACTAATTCTTCACTTCAAAGACTTAAAATATATTTAGAATGTAATCTGTTACGCCGCAACTTTGTCTTGTCATAGCATTACTAAATGGATGAACAAAATCTTATCGTAAAATAAATAAACAGCTCCTGAAAGATATTTGACATACAAGCACTCACCAATACCTTCCAGTTTGAACCAAATACCCAAAGGGAACGAGACTTCCAACATAACTATAAATGCCTTTGATATTGTTTTCCTTTGGAAGCCCCTTGATTTTTAACTCCATCCAACATAAATTACCTGACTTTAAGTTGACAACGAATACAATCTCATCATCACGGGCCATGAAGAATGATACAGATTTCGGCTCTGTATTGTTCCATATCGAGGGAACGCCTGTTGGAGTCTTCTCTAAAATCCATAAATCAAAGTACCCACTTACCCATTTTCTGCAACCGGTGATCCCTGATTTATCCTTCACCTCTATTAACTGGTAGTAGTACACGGACTCAATTGTATTCCACAATGTAATAATTTCGATTTTTTTTTGAGATTTAACATCAAATGCAACTATAGATATGTAATCAACCATAAAAAGTTGATAGATGACTCCACTAATGCAAACATTGGGCAAAGTAAATGGAATACAAGGGAAAGTGTAGTGAGTGTCTCTCCATAATTTGTCTATGCCTAAAGTGAAAATCCAGTATTTTGTGTGCCTATCTCGAGTATTATATGTTGTCAGGAGAACTTTGTACTTATTTTCTTCCGGTATTGAACATTTATTCCAGCTTTTACCTTCAGTTGGGTTGGGCAGAAATCTTACTTGTTTTGTGCTGGGATTGAAAATTGCAGCAGGTTGCATATATGATGATTCCCAACCACAAAACAAACCATTAACGCTATTCAAACAAGGATTATTGAATGTGTCAAGTTGAAGAACGGAGGCAGAGGTTTTTCCACCTTTCTTTTCCATTTGCGGTGTAATAAACTCCTTCTTCGAGCAAAAGGAATTTTGTCCCGACAGAATGACATTTATGGATATCCAAAAAAGCTGATTCGGATACCATGGAATTACAGAATTTTGAAAAGCATTAACGAAATAGAAGGAAAATAAATCAAACATTATTTCTTGAGGAATTCACAAAATTTTGCCGGCAGAATTCATAATGTTCATTTTTTTCTTTTTGCGTCTTGTAAGACTCTTATAGTCTTAATGATGTCCTGTTTGGCTTTTCTGTTTCTTAATAAGACTCTTATTTCCTTTGTTTTCTTTCTAGTACATTACAATTAGGACTCCCAAAAATTGAACTTGTTTTTTGGTTTTAAAATCCTAAAAACAATATTATGGCAAGAAAATTGAAATTGTTTTTTTATAAACTCTAAACACAATATTGAGCAGGGCACAATTTCATCAGAAATATTTTGGCCCCAATTATTTAAAATGAATCGAAAATAGTTGATTTATTTTATACTCCCTTTGTTTTAATATGACCCCCCATTTTTCTTCGCTAAACATTCTAGTTTTACCAGTTCATCTTCAACTGATAAATACAAAGAATTTCATCGATCCTTTTTGGTTCAAATTGAGAGATGAGAGACATATTTGAATCATTTTTTCTTGATGTCGTGTCGTAATTCCTTCATTTGAATCACCGATGATGATGTAATTGGGGTAGCTTACTTCGTTTTTCGATTCATTTGGAATATAACTTCAGTAATAAATTCTGTAGAGGATGTGTCTGTTGTCGACTTGGTTGCAATTACAACAAAAGGACGGGATCTTGAATCATTGGATCTCTCATCCAACAAACATAATAATCAATCAATCGCTTGGAAGGTATTATGCAAGCAACATCATTGCACTAATTATCTCTCATTCAATAAAATCAGCGGAGAAATTCCCCAACAACTTACATCTCTCTCACAATCATCTCGTTGGATGTCTCCCCAAAAGAAAACAATTTGATACGTTTCAGAACAGTTCATACCAAAGGAATGATGGACTACGTGGATTTGCACTCTCAATAGATTGTGGCGGCGTTGATGAGGTACCACAAGCAACACTAGATCAAGAAGAAGGAGATTCAGCAATATACATATTGCTGTCAACTCGATATCCAGCATGGTTTTCGAGGATGGATGTAGAATTGGAACAGTTAATGCAGTCCAAACCCAAATAAGGATATGCATCATAGAGTTCATTAAATATCTCAATTTGAAGAAAGGAGGCAGAGTCTTTTCCATCTTTGTTTTGCTCAACATTGTAGAAAATGGATGTTTGTGTTAAAATTGAAGTCTGATGTAATAATAAGGAGTGATAATGGAACTGGATTAATCAATATTGAATGATCCTGCTAATCATGTGTGTTTTTGTGAATAGGTTATGATACTTGAACAAAGGTGTTTTTCCTTCCAGGCATACAGGAAGTCAATTACAGGCTTTGTGATTAAATTAGAGTCTCAAATTGGACTAATCAAAGATTTAGATGATCAACTACAACTTGTATATCATGAGAGGACTGTCACTTTGTTAGAGAAAATTGACTACATTCCAACCAGCTGAGCCTAAGTAAAGTGCAGCGTAATGACTGTTGTAGTTAGTTAAGTTAGTTATTGTTTTTAACTAGTCAGGCCGTGTACATATAGACAACATCTACAATGTAGAGAACAACAAGGAAAAGAAGGGGTCAAATAAGTACCTACACCAAAACTCAAAATAATCCAAAGGAAACGAGTCTTTCAACATAACTATGAATGTAATATATTTCTATTCTGAGACTTTTAATACCAATGCTATGATCCTATAGGTTTATGTTACCCAAATTCAAAAGAAAAAGGACAAACAAGCACTTGTGATGCCTCCCAATTTGAACAAAATTATCCAAAGGAAACAAGACTTTCAACATAACTATAAATGCCGTTGATGTTGTTTTCCTTCGGAAAACCCTTGATTTTTAATTCCCTCCAACTCTTTCTTATGACATCATAACTGAAACAACTGACAACTCTTGGACTTAAATACATGAAAAATACAATCTCCCCATTATTAGGAGTGCAGGATGATATAACTATAGGTTTTTTATCAATCCATATCAAGGGAAAACGAATGATATGTCTCTCCCATTGGTTTCTTGGAGTTTGCTCTAAAATCCACATGTCCAAATATCCACTTTGCCTGCTTTCATAATCATAATCTATGGCTGCTAATTTACCATTCACCTCTATCAGCTCGTGACAGTGCATCCTGAATACTTCCCAATTTCATAATTTTCAGATTTAACATCAAATGCAACAATAGCAGATTTGTAACCATTTATAACAGACTCGTAGATGAACTGATAGATAACTCCACTAATGCAAACACTGGGACTAGTAGACGGAACACAAGAGAAAATTCTTTGACTCTCTC